AACATTGACAAACTATACAAATGTATATATGTAGTGCAAAAGATGTATATGTTTTATACGTGGTATAGTAAGTGACAATTACAATACTGCCATATAAATAGCCAGAATCTCGCTCTCTCGCTCTTCGCGTTGCAAATATGCATATATGCAAATTTGCAAATTGCAAATTGACAAATAGGTGTATAGTTGATGTAGTGAAAATGTGTAATGGTTTGGTATACGTTATATGGTTGGTGCACATATATAATATGCGCAAAAGGCTAGACAAACTATGACTATATCAAAATTTTAAACATTGCGAATAGTACAAATATGGTATATATTGTAGGTACAAAGATATGATATGTTTAGGATAGTGTATATGTAGTGCCAAATATGACAATGATGCGCAAATAGACAAATATGCATATATGCATGATTTCGGCAAATTGCAGAAATATACAAATATTATATATGTGTGCAACGAATATGGTATATATGTACACCAAACCAAACTACCGGAACCCCAAAAAGATCAAACTGGAGAACTTTCTTGTGATGCCACAATCCATTTCATTTGGAGGCCATCCGGGCCAGAATGTCTCTTGGTAAAAAACACCATTTGTCTTAGTTACCCCAGTTTTCTTTCCTTCTTTGATATATCAAAGAAACCAGCATGGCGCTTAAAGGGCACATGATAGCAAAAGTTACGCACAGGAGATAATGTCAAAGGGCCACAAGAGGGTTCTTAATGTGATGATTTGTGCGGACTTTGGTCTGCCAGGTAATTGACTGGTATCTTTCTCAGTGTCTTTGATTCTGCATGTTAAGTAAGGCAAGGGTCTAATTTTCTTGCCTTTCTGAACAATGTCAGGCAGGCTCAGGGCTCAGGCAGTTAGTAGACGAGAGAAAGCTAGGAACGGACGGGGTCAGCTGTGTGAGGGCACAAGAGGTGGGACGTGGGGTGAGGTGGATTGGAGGTCACACATGCCAAACACAGCTGGGAATTAGAGCAGATGCCGACGCTTCTGCTGTTGCCTGGTCTCTTGTCATCTCCCCTTTTTCTGATGAAAACCCTTCTCTCCTGGGACCATCCCTTTCCAACTGAGCTGTCAATCATCACCCAGGGGGAGCAGGGCGTCAGGGCAGCCTCCCTCCTTTGTGGCATTGTTAGGATGTCCAGAAAGGCGTGTGCCCAGACTGGAAAAAGCAAGCGTCTTTAGGGAGTGCCGCTAATCACTTGAATTGCTACCTGGGCATTGAAGGGTCTGTCTCCTTGCCCAGAAAATGAAGGTTAGTCTATTGCCTACTCTGTTTGCTGGTTGCGAGGATGAGATGAAAACAACCATGTAAATAGAGGCGGGGCGTTGCCAGGTGGTCAGCGCTGTCATCCTAGCACTTGGGAGGCCGAGGGCGGGAGGTCGGTCGACGGTCAGGAGTCGAGCCAGCTGGGCAATCGGGAGACCCGCGTCTTACTAAAAGAAATAGAGAAAAAATTAGTTGGAAAACTTAAAAATATATAGAAAAACAATCAGCCCGGCGACGCATGGGTGTGACTTGCCTGTAGTCCAGTATGGGAGGCTGAGGCAGGGGATCGCCAGGGTCAGGAGTTTGGAGACAGCCTGAGCAGGCGAGGAGCCCGACCTGTTACTAACGAAATAGAAAAGAAATTAGCTGGGACAACTTAAAAACTATATAGACAAAAATCATCCGGGCGTGGTGGCGCGATGCGTGTCAGTCCCAGGTACTCGGCGAGGCTGGGGAGGAGGATGCGGTTGGCCAGGAGTTTGAGGTTGTGTGGCTAGGTGACGCTCACGGGGATCAGCCCGGGGTGACAGAGTGGACCTCTGTTTCAAATAAAGAGGAAAAAGAAAAGGATGTAAGTAAAGGGGCCTGCAGATGGTGAATGTTCGTCCATCAGCTGCATTGAGTTGTTTAGTGACGGGTTAGTTTCCTCTGAAAGCACATTCTGTCTATAAGGTAGGAGGTCGTAAATTCACCAATTTGTAACCCAGAACCCACGTTGATATCTCTGTTTTGCCTGCTATTTTGTTTCCCATTCACACGGACAACAGGTGCGTCTGTCTCCAGAAGTTCAGGAGAGGAGAACCGGATCACCTGCTTTGGTGGACGGAATGACCAACCTTACAGACAATCCCCATTCCTTACCGGCCCGTGCAACAAGTGGCAACTGTAATTGATGAGATTAAGAAAAATCTGTGTTTCTTCTCAATCCGGCAGTTTTAAAAACCCCACAGACAGACATTGGAATCGATCCACTCTTGCTTGGAGAGAGAGACCAGAAACCGTATGAAACATACATGGTGTGGATATGGTCAGGGTATTTATTCATAATATATTTTCACAATGTATTAATAATGAAGAATAACACTTATTCATACACCGAGCATAACTCTTCCTGGAGCACTCCGGAGTTTGCTAGGGGTTAGAGAACACTGCCAAGTTTTCCTAATCTCTTTGGTTTTTGAAAAAAAAGCAGGCGGAGTGTTCTCAAACCAAGTGTCTTCCACGGGCCATTTTGGAAGGCTCCCTTCCGTTGAGTCAGGTCGGAAGGGCAGAAAGTGGATTAATACAAAAAGTGGATTAATGGAAGATCAGAAAGACTCAGGCATCCTGTGTTCCACAGTTCATGTCTTGACACAAATGCCAATTCCTACAGCAGCCACGAGAGCCGACAAACGGGGTTAGGCTCATGGCCCCATGAGAAGCCAGGTCACCGGCCAATGTCCTCTTGCAAAAGGCAATCCGGGGGACTCGGACCCTGGCTCCGAACTTCCTCAGGCGTGCTGGTGTGCCGAAGCGCAGTTCCATTCTGTGCGTCCTGTTTCTTGCGACTGGGAGACTTGGACGTCCTTTCAGAATGTCTTGACTACTTGGCGAGAAGATCCCACTTCCCCAATTTGCTCCTTAACGAAGATGCTTGGAGGGGGCCCCACTCGATCGTAGAGAGACCGAGGCACCGTGGGCGAAAGCAACGTGTATTCACAACAATAGCGACAAGAATGAAGTCCAAGTCTCTTCCAAAAAAAAAAAAGGCATGTCCGAAAATAAAAGTGAATAGCTGGCTCCGTCCATTGGAAATTGTCCTTCTGTGCCTCCCTTTTGTCAAAAGTGTTTACATTTCTGAGTGTGAAGATCACTTAAATACATACAAGAGTAGCACCAAGGCAGTGTGTGTGTGTGTTGTTGTTTTTTTTCCCAGAGATCACAAAAAACTGAATAGATACGTAACGTCATTCATAGTTGGTACAATCTGTGACATCACTAACTTACTTATTGGGTACTGGTACTTGCCTAGAAATGCCAAATACACCCTTATAATACGGCCCTCGTAGCACCTTGATGACAGCTAGGTTGTTTGTTTTTTTTTAAAAAAAATTCCATTTTAAAAAAGCAACAATAAGACATTTACAGATAAAAAATAAACAATAGTGTACCGTGACAATGAAAGATCACTTTTGTCATAGGACTACATATAATGTAGAGTACGTAAAATGCAGTGGGCTGACTGCAAGAGACAGGGTAACGAAGAGGCAGTCACAATAGAGTCATTTTACGTACAAAAATATTACATCGCAATAAATAATTTCAGACATAAATATTAAACTTTACATCATTAGGGTATTCCACATATACACACGCACATATATGCATGTGTGTGTATATATGTGTGCTTTCATATGCATATGTACACACATTCACACGCACACAGGCATACAAAGCCACACACACACACAAACACACACACACACACGCGTGTGCATGTGCACACACACCCAACTTTAAGGTGGAGGTATTGGATCACTATCCTTCATTCATCCCATAATGGCTTCCTCTTCAGAGCACCTGAAATAAACAAACGCAAAACATAAAACTTCCGCTCAAATGCAAATTAAGTTAGAACCACACATTTTTACGTGCAGAATTTGCAAATAACGCTTATTGTTTTCTCTAGATTTTGTTTTGCGACATTTGAGATTTCTCTAGATATCGCTTTGCGACATTTGTGATTTCTCTAGATATCGTTTTGCAACATTTGTGATTTCTCTAGATATTGTTTTGCAAGATTTCTCTAGATATTGCTTTGCAACATTTGAGATTTCTCTAGATATTGCTTTGCAACATTTGAGATTTCTCTAGATATTGATTTGCAAGATTTCTCTAGATATCGCTTTGCGACATTTGCGATTTCTCTAGATATTGTTTTGCAAGATTTCTCTAGATATTGCTTTGCAACATTTGAGATTTCTCTAGATATTGCTTTGCAACATTTGAGATTTCTCTAGATATTGATTTGCAAGATTTCTCTAGATATTGCTTTGCAACATTTGCGATTTCTCTAGATATTGTTTTGCAATATTTGTTCCCTCCAGAGGAACATGGACATTTCGGGAAAGTAATAAAGCATAAAATAAAATATCCACTAGCCTGAAATCCCCCCCACCAAAGATAACTGCTCTTCAAATATTGGTATATTTCCTTCTAGCCTTTTTTCTACACATACATGTTTAGATGTATACATTGGAAATATTGGGTATATGTGCTCATTCATGAATTTCACAACATATAGGTGTTGTTGCAACATTTATCTTATTAGATGTGAAATACATGAAGGTGTGCATAAAACGGTGAGCTCTAGTGGATTCCTTCTGGCTCTAGCCTGCCTCCACCCATCATCTCTTCTCTTCTGATCACAAACCCTTCTCCTTGAACTTTGGGAATCCTGGCTCTCCCAGCGGAAGCTGTCGGCCACCTGACTCCAGGCAGGTGCATGATCTCAGCCACCTGCAGATCACGAGTGACTCAAAAGTGACCACGTGACCCAATGGGAGCCAATCAGAGAGCTCTTGGGCAGAGTGCCAGCTGGGGGTGGAATTTACTGGGACAGTCAAGCGAGTCAACGGTCCCGCCTTTTGGCCAGCAGAGGGGACGCGTGCGGGCACAATGCAGTTGGACCGGGGACTGCCACACTCTCTAGCATCCACGACTCCCGTGGATTGTGCTCAAAGGCACGCTCTGATTTCACAGGGACAGGGCCGCGGCCTGGCATCCTGCATCTCTGACCAGTTCCCTGGAGACGCCGACCGTGCCGGCCCTCTGCGCACACCGGGAATGGCAAAGGTGTGGGTGGCCGGGAGCAGTGGCTTCGGCGCAGGGCACTGGTGAGTTCTGCCAAGGGACTTCGCCACGGCTTTGCGCCATTTCTCAGCTGCGGGCGCCAGCTTCGCCCTGTGCAGAACGACAGCCCCACCTCGCAGGTTTGTGTGTGTGTGCGTGGGCGCGCGTGCGCGTGGGGGTTCCGTGAAATATCACCTATACAGCGCGTTAGCATGGAGAAGGGCCCGCCAAATGCCCTTGCTATTATTATTATTATTATTATAACACTCCTGCGCGGCATTTCTCAGAGGGTGGTCGCTGAGCCCCCTGCATCAGGATTCCCCGTCCCAGAACCCACCAGAGGCCCAGGGAGGCAGGCTGCCCGGAGGCCGGCGCAGGGGAATGGCGAGGCCAGGCACAGGGACCTCGCGCCCAGGGGTGGGGACCGGGTGGCTGCTGTCATGCAAGGACAACGCGCAGCAGAGAGAAAGGCAGGGTAGCGCGAGATCGGGTTCCAGATGCTCCACAGCGACCCCGACTGACCCACGCACCTCTGCTCATCCTTAGGGTCCAGGGAAGATAAAAGACAGATGGATGGACGGACAGACAGACGGACGGACAGGAACGGCCACGCGCACGCCCGCCCACTGCGCAAAGATAGACGACAGACAGCATGGACAGGACGGAATGCGGCACAGACAGGGCAGATGGACGAACAGACAGACAGGGATGCGACAGACCGCACTGGCACAGGCCAGATGGACACCGACCAGGACAGGCTGACACACAGAGACAGACAGGCAGATGGACAGACAGACAGGCAGATGGACAGCATTACGCGGACAGACGACAGACAGACAGACAGAGGACTGCTCACCTTGGCTATAAAACTCGCACCCCCAGGCCGGTCCGCGCGAGGACGGGAGTGCACCTTCCGCCAGTACCGCCGCCACTTTCCCTACGACCCGGGTCCCGTCCTGCAGAGAGGAGGAGGCGCGGCAGCATTTTGAGGACCCCCGCGTGTCACGTGCTCGCCTGGCGCCGGGCTGCTGTGAGAGGCGAGCGCTGGCGCAGGCACGGCTCCGCGCAGCGCAGCCCCTTCCGATGAGGAGCGTGGCCCAGAGCGGGGCTTGGCAGAGTATGGCATGCATGGGGGCAAATCCGGCCCATCACCCCTGCATTTCTGAGTTCTCTTTTCTGTGCCCCGGGCTGGAGTGCCGTGGCGGTCAAGCCTCGCTCACAGCCACCTCCCAGATCCCTCGCGGCTCAACCGCTAATTCTCTGCCTCAGCCTCCCGGGGTCGCCCGCACGCCTAGCTGGGACTACAGGCCATGCTGCGCCACCAATGCCCTGCTAGAATTGGTTTCTATATATTTTTAGTTGTCCAGCTAATTTCTTTCTTCTTTTTGTAGTAGGACGGGGTTCTCGCTCTTGCTCAGGCTGGGTCTCGAGACTCCTCCTTGGAGCGATTCTCCACTTTAGGTCCCAGATGTGCTACGATTATACCATGTGCCACCTTTGCCCCGGCTAAATTTGTCTATATATTTTTAGTTGGCTAATTAATTTCTTTCTATTTTTAGTAGAGATGGGGTCTCACTCTTGCTCAGACTGGTTTCGAACTCCTGACCTTGAGCGATCCTCCTGCCTCGGCCTCCCAGAGTGCTAGGATGACAGGCGAGAGCCACCGCGCCCAGCCAGATTTTATACGTGCAAACTGCCCAATATATTTTTTAAATTATAATCATGTTATATTAATCATATTTCGATTATCAGGAAATATTAACCATATTTCAATTACTATGAAATATTAATCAGATTTCAATTAATCATAATTATAATCATGATTACAAATCAGCTATTTATTTTAATTATCATCAGGATTATTTTTGTTAGGTAAAAACCGGAGGACGAGCTCTCTCCATTCCATACAAGGGCACGGACCGTGGAGGTGAGATTGGGACTCATCGTGACCAGCTCTGCCCCTGGCAGTGAGACACCATCTCTGTCCCCCAAGCAGTACCGGGGACCCAGCTGCACCCCGAAGGACTAGAACTTTCTGTTGGCTTTCCTTGGGGAAAACGTTTTATGGCCGAGGACGTTTGGAAAAATCGAGATTTTTCCTTGTGGTTTTTCCCTCTGCAGGTCATGCCGGAAATGCCAAAGAAAGTGACAACTGATGATTTTGAGGGCTGAGTGAAAACAGAGCCGGTTGGAGAGGACAGGGTCATAACTGCCCGCGGTCTGAGCATCACGGAGGGGACCCGGCTTCCGTCCCCCGGGGGCCAGGCGGGGCTGCGTGTCATGGAGCAGGAGCAGCGTGCTGCACCATTCCCAAAGCGTGTTCCACGGAACTCTGGTTATGGGGGAAAATCCAAACGTGTAACGTGGAAAAGGAGTTTGTTTTTTTTTTTGCGGTTGGTTTGATGTAGGTCAGCGGTTCTCGAAAAGCAGCCCCAGACCTGGTGCATGAGCGCCACCCAGGGGGACATGGCTGCAAACTGAAGTTTCCGGCCCCTCTGAGACCGGGCTGTCCAGGTGCTAACAAGCCCGGCCGGCAGGTGGGGGGTGATGTGGACACGGGTTTGAGAACCGCTGCTTTTTGGTTCTAAGGACAAAGCCACGCAGGTTTCGTTCCTGTGTTCCAACCTCGCGGGCTGATGCTTACTTACTGTGACTCTTCGGGGAGCAAATACAACACACTATAATTTTTTTTTCCCCCAATGCACTGGGCGGTGGGGGCTACTTTCACAGTGCACCCCAGCAACCCGCGGACCACACGGAGGGCACTCAGCCTCAGCTCCCAGGTCGATAGTTTTGAGCTCAGGCTCTCTGAGTTTCCCTAGAACACCAAGTTTTTTTTTTTTTTTTAAATGTTGACAAGCAACTGCCAAACCAGCTCAGAGTAACTGTCCCTACAGGCTTGGGGAACACTTAGTGTAGTGCCCACTCTCTCCAGAAGGTGGCGCTCCCAGCCTTCATTATTTTTAGTTTCTGGTGGAAACTTTAGTAACTGGCTAATAAGGAACAGAATGTCAACTCATGTTACACACACAGTTTACACGGATGGGTTTCCTACAACCATGCTTTAGACAGGCAATGTTTTGGTTCTGAGTCATTGAAACATAAAACTGCAGTCTATTTCAAAACATCATGTTGTATGCAATAAAATATACCATTATTATTTATCAATCAAAAAAGAAACAATGTATCGATTTTGGAGGGAAAGGCTTGGGGGAGAATATTATATTTCTGGGGTCCATTCTAAAGCTCACGCACTGTTCTCAGCTACCTTTATTCCTCTCCGAGCAAGAAAAAAAATATTTAACGATTAATTTACAAGCAATCGAGACGGGCATTTGGTTAATCAGATTTGAGGTCAATGATTGGCTTAGAGGTTTTTTTTTTTTTTTTCCCCACAGACACAAATTTTACACTGGCAGGTAGAAAAAGAGGGTTTCCCTAGAAAAATCACAATTGCACATTTCCTCTCTTGGGGGTGGTGCTGGGACCAGGTTTAGCTGCTGCTTCTTTTTTTTTTTTTTTTTCGAGACTGTCTCACTCTGTCGCCCAGGCTAGAGTGCCGTGGCATCAGCCTAGCTCACAGCAACCTCAAACTCCTGGGCTCAAGTGATCCTCCTGCCTCAGCCTCCCTAGTAGCTGGGACTACAGGCATGCACCACCATACCTGGCTAATTTTTTCTATATATTTTTAGTTGCCCAGCTAATTTCTTTCTATTTTTAGTACAGATGGGGTCTTACTCTTGCTCAGGCTGGTCTCGAACTCCTGACATTGAGCGATCCTCCCACCTCGGCCTCCCAGAGTGTTAGAATTACAGGCACGAGCCACCGTACCCGGCCTAGCTGCTTCTTTATATTCTAATTTTGATTAGATAGAAGTATTTCTGATAGGGTTGCCAGGTCTAGCAAATACAAATACAGGATGCTCCGTTAAATTTGAATTTCAGATAAATAACATAGGTTATTAGCGCAGGTATGCCCAGTGCAATGATAACAACATACTTACAGGACAAAAGAGTTCATTGTCTATCTGAAATGCAAATGTAACTGGGCATCCCGTATTTTATCTGGCAACTCCACTTTGGAGTCATAACCCTTTTTCCCAGCTCTCCTCTTCTTCCTCCCCAACTCACATTTTGGAAGAGACCCCCAGGCTGCGCTCGTGGCTGGGGCCGGGTTGGGGCAAAACAGGCCAGGCTGGGGTAAACTTATACGGATTTGTGCGCGAGCCAGGTTCCTGCCACGTTCTCAGAACTGCAGACGGCAGGCTGTCAGGTCCCTGTCCTGGTTGTACATTGGAACCATCTGGGGGGGGGGGTTCAATTCTACCCCTGCCGGGGGCCCCACTCTCGAAGATTCTGATTCTGTTCATCTGGGTGGGACAGGCCTGGGCACATGGATTGCAAACTCGCCCAGCTGATTCTAATACAGTGTTTCCCTGAAAATAAGACCGCCCCATAAAATAAGCCCCAGCAGGATGTCTAAGCATCTGCGCAGTAGAAGCCCTACCCCGAAAATAAGCCCTAGTGACAGGTGTGGCCATGAAAATAAGCCCTAGTGATGGGCGTGGCCACGAAAATAAGCCCTAGTGCTGGGCGTGGCTATGAAAATAACCCCTAGTGTTGGGCGTGGCTATGAAAATAAGCCCTAGTGTTGGGCGTGGCTATGAAAATAAGCCCTAGTGATGGGCGTGGCTATGAAAATAAGCCCTAGTGATGGGCGTGGCCACGAAAATAAGCCCTAGTGCTGGGCGTGGCTATGAAAATAAGCCCTAGTGGTGGGCGTGGCTATGAAAATAAGCCCTAGTGATGGGCGTGGCTATGAAAATAAGCCCTAGTGGTGGGCGTGGCTATGAAAATAAGCCCTAGTGATGGGCATGGCTATGAAAATAAGCCCTAGTGTTGGGCATGGCTATGAAAATAAGTCCTAGTGGTGGGCGTGGCTATGAAAATAAGCCCCAGTGATGGGCGTGGCTACGCAGCGCATCTGCACAACCCATGCATGTCGTCGCGGAGTGGGCAAGAACACGAGCAGCCCTTCTCATCTGCCCCATGAGAGCTCTAGTGCTCGACAGGAGAGGTCGGGACCAATGGTTCTAAAGAAAATAGAGTCGCAAGACATTCAGGATGGGATTCGGGGTTTGGAGAGTGAGGATGATGTTCCAGAAGAAGACGACTTCACTCTATTTGGATAAATGTAGATGGTTGTACTGTACTTAAAAAAAAATAAGCCCTAGGGTGTCTTCTTGAGGCAAAATAAATCTAAGACCCTGTCTTGTTTTCGGGGAAACACGGTACCCACCCAGGGTGAGAAATGGAATAAAGTGGAGATGCTTGTTGGTCCTCCACTTACGATGTGGCTTCGTCCCGAGAGCCCACTGTAAATTGTAAGCGTCGTAAATTGAAAATGCATCAATGCACCCAACCTACAGAACACCACAGCTCAGTCTCGCCTCCCTGAAACGTGCTCACGTTAGCCTACGGATGGGCAGGACCATCTCACACACCACTTTTCCTATAATAAAATGCTGAATATCTCATGCAATGTATCGAATGTTGTACTGAAAAACAGAATGGATGCACAGGTACCCAAAGCATGGTTTCCACTGAATGCATGGTTTCTACTCACACCATTGCAAAGCCAAAACATCGAGTCATGCCACAGTGAGTCGGGGACCGTCTACACAGCCTAGGGCTTCTTCAGCTATACCGTGCTCTTTTTTTTTTTTTTTTTTTTCTTGAGACAGAGTCTCACTCCGTTGCCTGGGCTAGAGTGCTGTGGCGTCAGCCTCCCTCACAGCAACCTCAAACTCCTGGGCTCAAGCGATCCTCCTGCCTCAGCCTCCTGAGTAGCTGGGACTACAGGCATGCGCCACCATGCCCGGCTAATTTTTTCTATATATATTAGTTGGCCAATTAATCTCTTTCTGTTTTTAGTAAAGATGGGGTCTTGCTCTTGCTCAGGCTGGTCTCGAACTCCTGACCTCGAGCAATCCTCCTGCCTCGGCCTCCCAGAGTGCTAGGATGACAGGCGTGAGCCACCGCGCCTGGCCTGCACCGTGCTTTTGAATCACCTGGGGACCTTGTTCAGCTGTGGACCCGGACCCAGTACCTCTGGGGACCATAGACCCTGAGTTTCCAACAAGCTCCCAGGTGATCCTGATTTGCTGCATGGACCACACCTTGAGCAACCAGATTTTTAGAGTATTGAAAATGGATTATTATTGTAGAACCTAGGCACGTATTTCTAATTCTCCAGACCCATTCCCTGATACATTTATCCCTTTCTTCTGGGCCCATTTGTATTTAATTTTTTTTTTCCTAAAGAAAAATAAGAGATCATTTCCCTTGGGCTCACAAAAGTGAGTTGCATGTTGTCTAACTGCAAAATGAGACCCCCACTCGCTCAAGGTGTCTTCCTGCTTTTAGCTCCCTGGTCGGGCAGTTTTTCTAACCACTCGGCTGGTTCACTTGCCAACATCTCTCATTCCCATAGAAACCCTTCACCCGCAGTTTATATGCTAAAGTTTCTTCTTGACCCTTTGCAAAATGGTTTGAGGACGTGGGAAAGCACGCTGCTTCCTTCAGCAGGACCATTGCAGGGAAAAGGAAAAGGAAAAGGAAAAAGGATAGGAAAGGAAAAGGAAAGGGAAAGGAAAGGAAAGGAAAAAGGAAAGGAAAGAAAAGAAAAAAGGAAAGGAAAGGAAAAGGGAAAGGAAAAAGGAAAGGAAAGGAGAAGAGAAAATAAAACAAAAGAGAAAATAAAATAAAAGAAAAAAGACGAGAGGGGAAGGGAAGGGAAGGGAAGGGAAAGGGGAAGAGAAGGGAAGGGAAGGGAAGGGAAGAGGAAGGGAAGGGAAAGGAGAAGAGGGAAGGGGAAGGGGAAGAGGAAGGGAAGGGAAGGGAGAAGAGGGAAGGGGAAAGGGAAGGGAAGAGACACAAGCCGTCCCCCAACCCGTCTGCAACCTTACCGGCGACTTCTTGATGTCTGAGACTGCGTAGTTCCCTTGTGAGATCCATCTAGCAGATTCCGTTAAAGACAGGCCTGTTCCGTAGAGGTTGATGCTAAAACGACCCTGGAATAAAAGGCCAAGGAAAGGCTGTCAGCCCGTGCGACGTCCCAAACACTGGAAGGCACTTAGGTTGGGAGGGAAACAGGTATCAATTACGCCGGCGACTAAGGGCTGAGTGTGTTCTGTGCTTCCAGGGCCAGGCCTTTTGCGCGCATCGTCTCGGGCCCCCTCACCTGAGCTCAGGGAAGGGGTTTTTTTTTTTCTTTACAGACAGGGAAACTGAGGCTTAGTCAGCGGAGGTGATTGATTCACTTCTCCCCCAGCATCCGGTGAGGGTCCAAGTCACACCTTCTGACCCCAAAGTCCTCGTGCCCAACCACCTCCGCCGGGGCCCCCGAGAACACGGCCATCCTGATGTTGCCCGCAATTATCGGATGCCTTCGGGAACGAAATGTCACAGTGTAATTTTTCTAACAAGGTCCCGCTGCCAAAGCTGCCCCGGCCGGCAGCTCCCTGGGGCGATGAGCACAGCGGGGAGGGACATCAAAGAAGCGGCGCGCTCCCCGCAGCGGCCAGCAGAGGGCGCGCGTGGCCTGCGCAAGACCACCTGGGCAGGTGGGGACCACCGCCCCATCCCAGGGTGTCTTTCCACACCTGGTGCCTCAGCATTGATTCCTAAGGAGACGGTGCTGCCAAGAGACACCCCCCACCCCCCGTTGCTCTCTCTGGGTGCCTCTGTTTCTCTCTTTGCAAGCATGACTTTGCAAAAGGCACCGCAAACAGGTTCCCTTTGAGGCTTGCTATATTCCTCCACGACCAGCAGCCTCAGTCAGAGCCAGCCAGGACTTTGTGAAAACAGCCTTTTTATACAGCAGGGAGAGCGGCGGGGTGGAGCTCACAGCCAGCCAGACCTGTGTGACTAAAAGCTTTTGCACCCCTGATTATCAGATCCTGGCCGCATCTTTTTTTTTTTTTTAAAGGCATTCCAGAACCTCAGTTTGTCCATCTGTAAAATGGGAGGTAATAAAACCCAACTCTCTCCGAGCACTGCCAGTGAAATTAGCCACGTGGCATGTGGCTGGTACATACTTAGTGGACATGCAAAGATACTGGTATCTGCCTTGCATTTTCTAATTGCTTCCTAAGTGTTCATTTGATTAATATAACATAGTAGTAAGCTTATCGAGGGCAAGGGCTTGGTATTGCTTTATTTATTTCGGCTATGGTTTCTAACAGATGGACTGGCCACTTGGTAGATTCTCAATAAATAGAACACCCAGCCGCTCCGCAATGAACATTTCCAGCACTAGGGGTGGCTTAGTGATCCCCTCTCACGATGCAGTATCATAAATGCCGACTGACAAGAGTTTCTAAATCCTTTCGGGGCCTTTAGGTTCTGCAAGCGTAAAATGGGGGAAAATAGGATTCCTTTTCCTAGAGGTGAGCAAAGGGTTTAGTCTGGACTAAGGCAGTGGATCTCCACAGGGGACCGTTGACGCCAGGGGCAACCTGGCAATGTCTGGGGACATTTCTGGCTGTCACAGCTGGAGGGGACGAGAGGTGACTGTCACTGGCACCTCGTAGGCAGAGATCAAAGACGCTGTTGAATTTGCCTACCATGCACAGGACAGCCACCACGACGGGGAACTATCCGGCGCACACCGTCAAGTACTGAGTGCGAGGAAGCCCGGTGTAGACGGCAAATTTATCCTAGAATCTCACTCCCCAAGCCTGACCCTGGGCAAGGGCTTAACCTTCCTGAACTCACCTGTAAAATGGATCAGTAAGACCTCACCTACGAACAGGAGGTGAGCAGATACAAAGGCATAATGCAGATAACTAACTCAACTGCTGGGCAGAGAGGAGGTGATATTTAAACGATATTTACAAAAATATCACCTACTCTCTGGGACATTATTTTTAGGACAATACCGTGTTTCCCCAAAAATAAGACAGGGTCTTATATTTATTTTTCCTCCAGAAGACACCCTAGGGCTTATTTTCAGGGGGTGTGTTATTTTTTTTTTTAAATACAGTACAACAATCTACGTTGATTCAAATAGAGTGAAGTCGTCTTCTTCTGGAACATCATCATCACTCTCCAAACCCGAATCCCATCCTGAATGTCTTGCGACTCTATTTCCTTTAGAACCATCGGCCCCAATCTCTCCTGTTGAGCACTAGAGCTGTCACGGGGCAGATGAGAAGGGCTGCTCGTGTTCTTTCCCGCTCTGCAATGACATGCATGGGTTGTGCAGATGCGCTGCATAGCCACGCCCATCACTAGGGCTGATTTTCATAGCCACGCCCATCACTAGGGCTTATTTTCATAGCCACGCCCATCACTAGGGCTGATTTTCATAGCCACGCCCAGCACTAGGGCTTATTTTCATAGCCACACCCATCACTAGGGCTTATTTTCTGGGTAGGGCTTCTATTTTCCACATGCTTAGACATTCTGCTAGGGCTTATTGTATGGGGAGTGCTTATTTTCGGGGAAACACGGTCCTATGCAGACGTTAGTGGTTCTTCTGTTGCGTGGCCTCAGTATCCAGGTGTTGGTGATCGAGGCTGGGCTGAGGCTGAAGGTCCTCCTCTCCCAGCCTCCTTGGACACTGAACTCTGTGTCCGGCACACTGTGTCCGGGATCCCTCGCTGTCTACCTCCACGCTTCTTCCTACTCACACTGCCTGTCCCCCCTGCACTGCAGGGCAAGCTAGACTCCACCTGCTTTGGCATCGAAGTTTCTAGAAGGCCCAGGCTGCTGCCCTGGCTTCTTTCCTGAGCTGATCTGGGTGTCCGGGGTCTGGACACCCTCGGTGCACACATCTATGAGGTCTGTCTTCAGAGGGAGGTGACAACTCAGATGCCACCGCCAACTGTCCTTTCTCATTCTCCTCCCTTCTGCAAGTTCCGCGGATCTGCAATCTTCAGCAGATCTAAAAGTTGGGGGAAAAAGTGCCGCCCGAAAGCGAGGAAAACGCTGGTGTTTTTTCTAGCTCTTGCCTGGAATCTATGCCTCCTAAAAGCCTATATATTCGGCGGTCCGAAGGGCAACGAGTTGTGACCACCACTCCTGCCTGTTGCCAGTTGGTTAAGGGGAAAAGCGTAATTTAAGAGTTATGCCCTTCACCTGAAGGTCCATAAAGGTTTTGGCCAAAGATGTGCTCTTGACCTAGAGAGAGATCCTGTAATTCTGTTGCGACAGGAACACAAATGGTGCTAAATTATTATTATTATTATTATTTTGAGACAGACTCTCACTCTGGTTTGCCCGGGCTAGAGGTCGAGTGCTTGTGGCGTCAGCCTGCTCACAGCAACCCTCCAACTCCTGGGGCTCAAGCGATCCTCCTGCCTCCGCCCTCCCGAGTAGCTGGACCTACAGGGCTATGCGCCCACGCCTGGCTATTTATTTCTAATATATTTTTACGTGGGAGATTAACTTTTTTCTAGTTTTGTAGCGATGGGCGTCTCGCTCTTGCTCAGCTGCTCTCGAACTCTGACCCTCGAGCAATCTCCCGCCTCGGTCCTCCCCAGAGTGCTGGATTGCAGGCGTGAGCAACCGCGCCCGGCCTGAAATTCTTGCCTGCAGAAAGCCACGTCTACTCGGGGCCATCGGAATTCATACACACTGAGTAATAGACCAGAGCAGAGCCTCAGCTGAGCAGCAGCCGTGTGGATCTGGGCCAAGTTCTCCAATCTTTCTACTCGTCACTCTCCTTAGTCTTTGAAAAGGGAGAGTATTCTCATAGATACTGCAGGAACTAAATGCTACACTGACTGGGCAATGCTGAGCACAGCGCCTAAAGCATAGTAATTGCTCAATAAATTCCAACTGTTAATACCATCAATAACATCATCAATAATAGTGCCACATCTACTGGGATCAGGATAAAAACATATATATATATTTGGGTTATATTTTGAGGGGAGCCCACCCCTATTAATAAATCCTCAAAGCCACAGCAATGGGCGAGACAGAAGAGATAGATTCTCAAAGACAGCCTCCTTTTGCTTTGATTTCTGTGGAATCAGGAGCTCAAAGGAGGAACTTTCCACTCACTCCAAGTCGGTCCGCATGAGTTTGCCTTCTACAAAGCTTCTCCCGGAAAAACCCAATCTGAAAAACTCACATCTTTCCTCACTAGAGTCTGGGGCTCAATACACATCCAAGGGATCGAATTCTAGAAGTACCCAATCTGATTTGAAGAATGGGCTGGGAGTGAAAAAAAAAAAATACAAATGGGCCTCTCATGGGGTTTTGGGTTTTGCCACTTAGGAATTGCTTCACTGTCAGAATTTAGCAAATCAATCAGTTCATTTGTCTCTGAATTATTAACGTAAATGAATGCAAATGACTTTCCATTTACTTAAGCTTCCCAAAGGATTGTGTGTGTACAGAATCAAAAGAATCCTGAGACATTTGCAAAAAGGCAGGAGAGGGCCAGATCTATTAGCTGAGAAAATGCAACCGACACCAGCAGGGTATTTGAAAAACCAACAGCTGCTCCAAAAACACTGCACTTCAAAAGTTCTCAATTCCTGGGTAATGGAGGAAAAAGGCTCTTTTTTAACCATTATGTCCTTTGTTTATTTTCTTTATCCCCTGAGAGCTTCCTCTTCACTTCTCTAAAATGTTTAGCAAGGCTGCTTCTAAAGCTTGGGGCTGAGAAAACACTTCGTTAAAAGAAAATTCAGATGTGTTTGTCCTTGTTTTTTTTTTTTTTTGAGACAGAGTCTCACTTTGTTGCCCAGGCTAGAGTGAGTGTCCTGTCGTCAGCCTCGCTCACAGCGACCTCCAACTCCTGGGCTCAAGCGATCCTCCTGCCTCAGCCTCCCGAGTAGCTGGGACTACAGGCATGCGCCACCATGCCCGGCTAATTTTTTTCTATATATATTATAGAAATATAATATATTATAGAAATATATTATATATTCTCTCTATATTATATATATTAATTGGCCAATTAATTTCTTTCTATTTATAGTAGAGATGGGTCTCGCTTTTGCTCAGGCTGGTCTGGAACTCCTGACCTTGAGCGATCCTCCCACCTCGGCCTCCCAGAGGGCTAGCATTACAGTCCGTGGTTGAGGGCGAATCCGTGTCTTGGACACAGTGCTTGGGATTCTGAACGCATCACCCGGCCCCAGTCTCCAGGCTTCTCAAAGCTCACAGGCCAGGCGGGAAATTGCCAGCACACAGAGTTCAACATCAGCTTTGTGAAGACGTCATTGGAACCTAAGAGACAACCGAAGGCCAAGCAAGGCCGCTTGTCCAGAGTCACCGAATGCGCTCTGCTTGTTCTGCCTTCCAAGTGCAGAAGCTTCTTGCAAAGACCAAGCCCTGCTTTGCAAAATTAGCCCAGGCTGATGGTCGCCGCGTGTCTCAAAAGGCCAGGGCAAACTTGTCACGCCTCAGAAGAGGCAAGAAAGTGTAGCAACTACAGAATGGGCATAGAAGGGGCTCGTGAGCAGATCTGCAGAAGAGAGGCCCAGTGGAAGAGGAGGAACTTGCAATTCTGGTCTGAACAACCGCAAACTTTGAGGATCTCAAGCAGATGGGAGCTATAGCATCCACAGAGCCCCAAGCCTTGCGCCTGAAGGACTTCTAGAATATATGATTGCATCATGGTCAATTCCTGCGCCTGCCACTCTCCCCAACAACCCGATAAATTCCTAAAAGGCCGAACATCTGCGCATCTGCAGCGACAAGGACGGAGCCTGGCACGAAGCGAGCGCTCAAGAAATGCCAGCTCGTTCACTGGTTGTGAAGGCTGCTCTACAAGTATTTCTGGCTACAGTGAAAAAGTCAGAGAAGACCCATATACATCTTGCAAATTTTGGGATCTCCAGGTGCGATATTTATTTCTTAAAAAAAAAAAAAATCTGTCCCATGCTTATTTTGAAAAATTCAGAAAACCTGGGAGAGTTAAACATAATAAATAAAACCCAGAAAACCTAGGAAAGTTAAACATAACAAATAAAATTCAGAAAACCTAGGAGAGTTAAACATAATAAATAAAATTCGGAAAACCTAGGAGAGTTAAACACGGTCAAGTGAAATGTGCCAATACTGCTCTGAAAAAGTACTTCCGGATTTTTTTCTCTATTTGTGCATCGATTTCTCTGTTTGTGCATCTATTTTTCTCTATTTGTGCATCTATTTTTCTCTATTTGTGCATTTTCAAAATACATAGATGGGATCCCATTGCATTTACTGCTTTGCGTCTTGCTTCTCCTACCTGATCCCATGAGCGTTTCTGTGCACTGTGCGACATTCCGAGTTTTTAGTGGCCCACGGGGGTGTGTGGAAACTCACTCGGGCTGGCTTCAGAGAACCAACGACATGCCTGTCTTCCCGTCGCTCCGTTTAGTGACATAACGTGGACGGCTCGACATCGATCGTGGGGAGAATATTTACACCACGGGAATGGGCAGGTGCCGGACAGCGGGGAGGTTTCCCCTTTTCCTTGGCAAGTGGGCCATTAAGCACCTGCCCACGCTCCAGGGGCTGCACGACAGTCATTTCACGAGCCGTCGTGACTGGTCTGGCCAAGCCCTCGCCACCCGACACCCAAGTGGTCTCTGCGATGACGTGTTCTGCCGCGTGCAGCTGGCAGGCGCGACCCGTAGCCGCGACCGCTTCCTTTGGGAGCCACCTCTAGGGCTGGGACCCCTGGGCCAGACTCCGCGGGCATTTGTGGGGCCCTCCACACCTGGGGCCACGTGTGCTCTCCGGGGCAGCTGTTGTAAATGCATTCTCGGGAACGGACGCCACTGAGGCAGGGGAAAGGGGGGCGGCTCCAAGGACATACCTGGGGACACTTGGCGGCGCTGTAGCAGTCTCCGGCAGTGGCAAAAGACCGGTCCTCGCTCGTCGCTTGCAATAAGTTGCAAGTCGTGCTGTCGAGAGAACGGTTGCAGGGAGGGGTGGACGGGGTTGCAGAGAGTGGACGGTGTGCAAGGAGTGGTGGCGTGGGAGGTGCCGTGAGGGCGAGGTAGGATGTTGCAGGATGAGAGGTGGTGGGATGTTGCAGGGAGAGGGGGTGGGTATGGTGTTGCGAAGGAGGAGTAGATGGTTGCAGGAGAGAGGTGGGTGGGGACGGGTTGCAGGGAGGTGGGGATGGCAGGAGAGGAGGGGGGGACGGGTTGCAAGGGGGGGGAACGGTTGCAGGGAGGGGCAGACATTAACACGGAGACATGAAGGGAAGGGGAGAACAAGAACGGCGTCGAGAGGTGACAATTGCATGTATTAGTGACAAAACGGATGCAGATACGCTCTAGGCCGTCCGGTGGCTCACGCCTGTCTATCAGCACTCTGGAGGCCGAGGCGGAGGAATTGACTCGGAGTCAGGAGTTCGAGACCATCCTGAGCAAGAGCGGCACCTCTCTACTAAAAATAGAAGAAATTAATTGGCAACTAAATATATATAGGAAAATTAGCCGGGGTGGGCTGCCCTGTAGTCCCGCTACTCGGGAGGCTGGAGGCAGGAGGATCGCTGAGCCAGGAGTTGTGAGGTTGCTGTGGCGGGCTGACGCCACGGCATCACTCTAGGCCCGGGCAACAAACGGAGACTCTGTCTCAAAAAAAAAAAAAAGGAGTTGGAAGCCAGATGTGGTCCTGCTTTTCCTCGTTAAGTCTGTGGTTCCGAGAACTTCGTTTTGGGTTCTGTGGGCGCCGCCGCCTGGCTTCTTGCAGCAGGCAAGCCAGAGGGGGCTCCAATGGCTTTGCAGTGGGTCCCTCCATAAACAAATACGTGCGCCGGCGACGCTGGCTGCTTGAGAGCCCCCCGTCCCCCCGCGCAGCAGGCTCGAGGCCAGAGGGACGTGAGCCAGGAAGGCACCTCCAACGACACAGAAGGTTTCCTCTGTCCTCGTGCCCGGGGCCCGGGCCCAGTGATGGCCCAAATGGGGAGCCATTAGAACCCACAAATTATGAATGCTAAGTTTCTCAAGTTCGGGGCTAGCGTGTCATTTATTTTATTTTATTTTAAAAGCCAATAAAAACAACTCTGACCCCGAGAGCTCGTGTCTTCAACCCCTATTGTAGATCCCAAGATCGGCTCTGCGGACGCCTAAGGAAGAGTTAAGATGAGGATCCTGTAAAAGCTGACTGTCGCTGGGACCAGCAGGTTTGCATTTTGCTGCTTAACTTTGGGGGATGGGCGAGGCCCAGGTCTCTCTGCAGGGGACCACACCTTGGTGAGAGGGACATTTCCCTGCTCCCCTTTGCAAGAATAGGGGTTCCTGTCTGCTTCTGCATGCAGAACCCCTGGGTTTCGGCTGGGTGTGGTTTTTTTTTTTTTTTTTTTGAGACAGAGTCTCACTTTGTTGCCCAGGCTAGAGTGAGTGCCGTGGCGTCAGCCTCGCTTGCAGCAACCTCCAACTCCTGGCCTCAAACGATCCTCCTGCCTCAGCCTCCCTCCCGAGTAGCTGGGACCACAGGCATGCGCCACCATGCCTAGCTAATTATTTCCATATATATTTTTAGTTGTCCAGCTAATTTCTTTCTATTTATAGTAGAGACGGGGTCTCGCTCTTGCTCAGGCTGGTTTCGAACTCCTGACCTTGAGCGATCCTCCCGCCTCGGCCTCCCAGAGTGACGGGATGACAGGGGCGAGCCTCCTCGCCCGGCTGGGGTGCGGTTCTAAGTGGAGAAGCTTCGGACCCTCTGCCTTTAGCCCTAAGGCGTCTGGCTGAAGGAGATTAACAATATCTTGGTTCAAAGCAAGTTCGAGAGGAAAGCAATGCGGCATTTTGTGCATAATGTTAATGAGGAAAAATCAATTATTCGTTATTTCTCTTTTTCCTCTATTCAGGGGAACATGGCTAGATACATATCTTAGCTGTCCTTATGAACCACTCCTGGGATTCACGTCCCCAACAGAGACGCGGCGCCGGCCGGAATGGGGAACCAGCCCCTACGCAGGCTGGCGCTCCGTTTTCCCTCTGCGGATCAGCAATCGGATGAAACGAGTTTTGAGCCGGTGTGAGCGCGGGCGCCGGGCTGGTGAGAGCCGGGCGTGGGCGGATGTCGCCCCGAGAATCTCTCAGCTCTCGGGCTTTGTCACGGCTCCTCCCGCCACCCCTGCTTTCCTCGTGCCCCCAGGTCAACAGGTGCCTCGCCCGCTCCATCCACTCTGATGTCGCATTTTCTGGGGTGCTGGCCCTGACTGTCCACGCTGCAGCGGTGCCGATTTAATGCGCGTTCATCCACTTCATTCATTCATGCATTCATTCACTCATGCGTGCATGCATCACAGATCTGATGGGACATCTGCCCCTCGCTAGGCACTGGGGACACAGAGACAAGGCTCTGCCTGGGGGGACTGTCAGTACTGCCCTGCAAGCTCCTGCTCTCATTCCGCCTCATGTCCCCAGCACCCTGCCACCAGCCGCCGCGCAGGCCGTGCTTGCCCGGCTGCGTGGAGAAGAGAAGGGACACACGTGCCCGGAACTCACTTATGATCTGCATGCTGCTCAGGTCTATTCTGATTTTCTGGAAGCTGGAAAACCCAGCTGCGGTGTAGTCCTTGCGACACTGGCAGTCTTCCCGCCGGCTCCCGTTGTAGGGACACTCTGTGGGGTTGTGCAACCTGATTTGCAGAGAGAGAGAGAGCAATTCTGCTAAGAACGGGAGGGCGCTTCCGGGGACCCCCGGGCATCTGGGCTCTCCCGAGCCTGGCTTCCCCTCCTACCTGTGCCCGTACACCTCGGAGAAATTCTCCGAGTCGCCGTGAACCAGGGTCACGTACTCTTTGGGGCGGTCGGAGTGCATCCCCGCGCAGAAGATCTGAAAGACCAGAAGTAGCAACCCGAGATGAGCGGCCCGGACCAGGCCACCATCACGCACTCGAAGAACATTCTGGAAATAATGCCCAACGTTCACCTTTAGGAGCTTTCCTCTGACGACCAGGAAATATTCACCGTCTTCGCTGGTACTTTTGAGCCTCTTGACCTCCTTGCAGTTCTGGGGTAACTCGCCTGGAAAACACAAATCCCCAAAATGACACGTGCAAACAACTACCCCCGGAATGAATCGCGTTGTTCACACTGAATTTTTTTTTTTTAGTAAAGGGAGTGATTGCTTTTAAACAAATTCTGTATTTCTAGGCCGGGCGCGGTGGCTCACGCCTGGCATCCTAGCACTCTGGGAGGCCGAGGCAGGAGGATCGCTGGAGGTCAGGAGTTCGAGAGCAGCCTGAGCAAGAGTGAGACCCTGTCCCTACTGAAAATAGAAAGAAATTAGCTGGACAACTAAAAATACATAGAGAAAAAATTAGCCAGGCATGGTGGCACATGCCTGTAGTGCCAGCTACTCGGGAGGCTGAGGCAGGAGGATCGCTTGAGCCCAGGAGTTGGAGGTTGCTGTGAGCGAGTCTGACGTCACGGCACTCACTCTAGCCTGGGCAACAAAGCGAGACTCTGTCTCAAAAAAAAAAAAATTAGCTGGGCATGGTGGCACATGCCTGTATTCCCAGCTACTCGGGAGGCTGAGGCAGGAGGATCGCTTGAGCCCAGGAGTTGGAGGTTGCTGTGAGCGAGGCTGACGCCACGGCACTCTAGTCTGGGCAACAGAACAAGACTCTGTCTCAAAAATAAAATAAAATAATAAAATAAAATAAAATAAAAATAAAAAGGGAGACCAGACAAATGAACACAGGAACCCTGCTCATCGCGTGCCCGCCCGGCCGACTTACAGTTGTAAACGTTATGGCAGGTTTTTCGTTCTTCTGGCTTCAAATCCTCGGGGCATAAGTGGCTGGGCTGGTCCTCGTTGGTCAAACACTGGACAGACCTCTGCATCACTCCAACGCCACAAGACACCGAGCACTGTAAGGCAAACTAGAGTCAGCATGCGGCCCTGCCACCCGGGCGGGGGGCGGGGTGGGGGGTACAGCTCGGAGCCCCAATGTCACTTCAGATCCCGAGCTGCTGACACCAAAAAGCTGGTATTTATGGAGCACATACTATGCCCAGTGCCTGCGCTGAGCTCTATACACTCATATTTACCTCTACATACCTACACACAAAAATACATATATGTATATATGTATAAAGCATTTATACACATGTATGAAATTATATGTCATTTCATGCACACGCAGATTTTTTTTTTTTCATTTAAGCCTCACAATAACCCCATGGGATGGGACCACCTTTATCCCACTTTGCTGGTGGGAGACTGGGGCTCAAAGTCAAGGTCATGGTAGAACCAGGATTCGAACCCTAACCACTTTCCATTTGGCATATACTTTTGCCCGATCGATTTTCAAGACTGAGGGCCTTGTAGGCCACCGCCGGGGACCTGTGACAGTTTTCCTTGGCAGTCCCGACTTAAAATACTCTGCCTGTGGTACCCATAATGCGACGAAGTATCCCTCCTATAGAAGAACCCACTGGAACATCTAGACTTCTGAACAACATAGGCAAAAACAACTAGCCCTTCTATAACTCTTGCAAAGTGCCAGAGTCTAAGTGCTTTCAAAAAAATTGTGGTAAAATACGTATAACCTAAAATTCACCATTATAATGCAAGTGCTTTTCACACACAGATTGGGTACCCTGAGGCTGAAATGCTTGGGACCAGAAGGGGTTTTCGAGTTTCAGATTTTTTTCAAGTTCCGCAACGTTTGCGTCGTACGTGGCCGAGCGCCCCTCATCTGAAAAATGCAAAATCCGAAATGGTCCGAGGAGCATTTCATCTGGGCATCCTGTTGGCGCCCTCAAAAAAGTTTTAGATTTTGGGGCGCTCTGGCTGTCAGATTTTTGCATGAGGGCTGCTCCATCATCTACATATAAACTCGTCCCACCTTTTCCACGGCCCATTTTGCAGATGAGGAAGACTGAGGCCCAAAAGCCATGCAACCTGCCCACGGGGCATTCCCCCCGGGGCAGTGGCAGAACCAGGATTCGGGTCCGGGCTGCCTGGCCTCAGAGCCGGGGCCCTGAGCTCCAGGCCACAGTGCCAGGCAGAAAAAGGTCCCCTCTGTTCCTGCCCGGGGTCCCTCCGGACGCAGGCGGGGTCACTCAGGAGGGCAGATGGGGCAGGATGCGCGGTCCGAGACCCAAGGGCTTTCGGATCTGAGCCTGCGAAGCCGCCTACTTACGCTGCCCCAGTTGCCGACCCTCCAGGTGGCCGAGACGGGACAGCCCCTCAGGTAGCAGCGCTGGACGCTGGGGGGCTGCGAGCCGGGGCAGTTGGTGGCCGTCTGGTGGCCGTACTCGTAGTTCTCCTTCCCGGTGTAGATCTCGCTGCAGGACACCAGCCTTTGCTTGTAGCCCTCCCCGCAGGTCACCGAGCACTGCGGGGACAGGGACAGGGCGGGAGGACAGGTCCAGCAGCCCCTTGGGGCAGGGACCCCGCCACGATGCTGCAGAGAGCTCCCCCTTCCTTCATCAGCTTATTTGTTGACCCCAAGAAGCAGGCCCCGGGCACGCAGGGGACAGGTGACCCCGACAAGACGGGGCACCTCCTGAGCTGGCACTTCCCCTGCCGGGGGGCGCCCCGAGCCCCTTCTCCACCTCTGCAGGGCAGAGATGGGGCGAGCCTCCTCCGTTCCATTTGCACCTGCAGCCCAACCGCACTGGCCGGCCAGTCGCCCTTTCCCAAATCCCGCACAGACTCCAGACCGGGGACAGGGGAAAGGGACCGGCAGTCCCCACAAGGGTCCGCGTTTTCAGGGACCCCGGGGCTGGCGACCTCCCCCACTGGGTGACACGGCCTTCCCCGCCCACTCTCCACTGACCCCCTCCTCTCCCCTTTCCCCGGCCTTCCTCCCGTCCTCACGCTCCTGCTAGCGAAGTCACCGGTCACTGTAACTCTTTTGCCAAAATTATGCAGCATTATTATTATTTTTTTAGAGGCAAAGTCTCACTCTGTTGCCCAGGCTAGAGTGAGTGCCGTGGCGTCGGCCTCGCTCACAGCAACCTCCAAACTCCTCCTGCCTCAGCTCCCTGAGTAGCTGGGACGACAGGCATGCGCCACCCATCTGCCTGTA